GACTGCATGAGTGAATGAAGGCACAAAAGCTGTGTTATTGTGGCAGTGGGCTGAGTCCTCCCTGGAATAATAACTCATGCTTTTTCAGCCCCCCGCCCCCCGCCCCATCACCCACACTGCAGCCCTACGAAGTCGGCAATGTGAACTCCCCATGTGGCAGATGGGAAGAGTGAGGCTGTGCAAGGTGAAGCGACTTATCCTTCAGCACGCCCCCACTTGGTGATGAAAAACCAGAGGGGTCTAACTCCAGAGCTGTATTTATGAATAAAAAATCTCTCAGGTTGAAATGCCACTTACATTTTCCCTTCCCTGGATCAAGCTGAGGGAAGCCTAGCATGCTTCGAAAGTGTGGACAAGTGACTGGACAGGTCTGAAATAAGTGACAAGGAAGGCTGAATCCTAGGAGCAAAGAATTGTGTGGATACACTTTAGCTATTGAACTGAAACTATCCCCTGAAGTCATGATTTCATTAAATAGCAGGTTAACTCAAAAAGCAAAGAATGCCACTCCTTCAAAAAATTATCTATACCAGGTCCAACTGGGCTCTAAAACACAGTTAATAAAATTTGGGGCAAGGGGGAAGTGAGATTCAATCCATGGGAATAGCATCGTGACATGTGAAGAATATAATCAAGGTCACTGAGAATGGACCACTTGTATATGGCCTTTCTCACCAGGGTCTTGTAACTCTGGATTGGGTGGATCTGTGTAAATAAGAATTGGGTGATCTATGTAAATAAGGTACTTGTAGCCTAGACTCTGGGTGGGGGTGGGGGTGTGGAGACAGCTTACTAATAATGGAAATAAGGTGCAGGGCACCCTTCTGGAGGTAGGGCCATGCACATAGGGTGTATGGATCTTGGATCTCTATCAAAGGGATTGGTCATCTTTGCCATTGAGGTAGTTAGTTTACTGTGCGAACCAGGCCGATAAACACAGATGGGGGTACTTGAAGGGCAGGGAGATAAATGGTTCCGTGATCCTCGCCCTTCTAGTTCTCTGGTCTCTTGCTTTCTGATGGTCAGACCAGGGTG